GGTGGGCTAAGCTGGCCACACACACACACGATAAATAAATGTAATAAATAAAAATAAATAAATATTTAAAAAAAAAAAGAATCTAGAAGATGTACAGAAATGATATGGAGAACATAAGAACCTGAAGCAAGTCAAAGCAGGATGAACAGAAGGTAAGGAAAGACGTATACTTAAGATAGAATCAACCAGATTTAGTTACCTACCATATAACAATAGCAACTAATATTTTTATAATGTGTTTCATAATATATGTATCCATTATCAGATTTGATCTTTACAACATCATTGAAGGGAGATATTATCTTAATTTTATATGTGAGTGAACAGACTTTCATCTTTTAAGAAGTAACAACCGAGGCCATTTAACAAGCAACCTGGTATGGCAACTTTGGTTTCAAAATCTCATGCCGTTCTTTTTTTTTTTAATGTATTTAGTACAGTTCTACAAAGTCTCACTACACAGATCCAACTCATAATGATCCTCCCAAGCACTGGGATTACAGTTGCACACCATCACAGCCAGTCTCAATTGCAGTCCCAGTGCGCCCTGGGGGCAGGGCCCACACAGCACACTGAGAATCAAACCTCAGTCTCTATGCCTGCCTAAGCAGGCACTTTAGTCCACTGAACCATCTGGCTGGCCCTCAAAATCATATGCCATTCTGACTGTCTCTTGAAGAATGAGGGAGAAATGAAGACTGAATACTTGCAGCCAGCTTAAAGACACCCTTTCACAGTCCCTCTTCTCCCGCCCCCACTCCTATCAATGAAGCCCTTACATTATCTCTGGCTACTTCCCTTAGGCCTTTAGCGATACCTCCTTTTTTGTCGTTTTCCTGGGAAATGTGAACACAGATATTTTTCCCTTAATAATGTTCCCTATTGCAGGTAAAATGCTCTTCTTTGCTAAATGATTCCTACTCATCCATTAAAACTAACTTTAGAGCTGGGCGTGATGATGCAGGCCGGTAGTCCAAGCATTTGAAGCTAAGTCAGGAGTATTGCCAGAATTTCAAGGTCAGTCTGGAAAAAAATAAACAAAAAACATAAATTGGGCCAGTGAGATAGCTCAGCAGACTAAGTGCCTGCTTTGGCAAGTGCAGGGACCAGAGTTTGATCCCCGGTCCTGCATGCCACGCCAGCCATGCCCCTGGGGCACACTGAGCCAGGTGACCCAGTCTGGGTATGGTGGCACATGCCTGTAATCCCATTGCTGGGGAGGCTGAAAACAGGAGGATAACTACAAGTCCAAATTGTGTAGTGATACCCTGTACAAATATATAAGTAGGAAAAAAAATGTTCATATAATGTCATGATTTCTCTACCTAGTCTAATTTACAGCATCTCAGTGAATACATAGTATCTGAATACATGAAGTCATCAGATTGTGTAATTTCCTTCAGGGCAGGTAGATACTTCCTGGCATCTAGCTGTATCGCTTATTTCATGTTGGTTATATGCTCATGGCATAAATAAATGACTACGCACATTGCCACATTCTTCCCCTGTGGTAGAAGACCTTTTATGCCTTTTATGCTTTTATCATTTTTCCCAGATACATCCTGACTGTGTGTATCACTCAATCTGTTCAGGAAACAGAACCTCCTCCAAGTGTTTTAAGCTCACAAGAAAGCTCTGTAAGTGTTTATAAAAGCTTTCAGAAAATCTAAAGTGGCTGGCCCGGGCTGAAGCTTCTACAATGCCCACTAGAACTTGTGGCTACACTCTGCCAAGAAAGCTGCTACCTCGGCCAAAGTCAGAGAGCGTGAGGCACCTGCAACTGCCATTCAGGGATCAGAAAGCTATTGTAGGACATTGCCACTGCTGCATGCTGATGCGGCCAGCGCTTAATGTTTGCAAAGTTAGAGACATCTGGAGGTCACTGCTGTATAAATAAGCTACATCTTGGGGTGAAGAGGGTGGGGATCTGTCAGCTCTCTGTCTCCATC